CTTTTTTTTTTTTTTTGCTGCATTTAGCATTTAAATACATGCATTTAAGCAATGCTGCATTTGGCAAAAACACCCATCTATGTGAGCCCCAATAATGTCCATACCCCAGTCACGAGTCCACTCCAGTTCTTTAAATCACTATCCTGGATTATATATATAGAGTTAGGGAAGTCTCACTTTTGCTCAAATTTTCTGATCACTTGTTTGGGGTCAGTGGTCCATAAGGCATTGAAGCCAGAGGGCTCATGGGCAGCCTAATAGTTCTGGGGCCGTTATAAATAAGTGAATAGATGTATCCTCTTATCCTTGGAACTAGTATGCAGCCTGACATCCATCTAGAGATTTTGTTGCAGATTCTTAGTTTTGATACATTTTGACCATACAGTGGCGTTAATTTATTCAAACGTGTGTGTTGCACAGGGCAACTGTTTAGCTGACATTTGCCCCCCCCCCCCCCCCCCCAAACATTAGGTCTCGTTCACACCTAGGCGTATTGCATATGAGCGTCTGTCGCGCGTTTCCGAAGGCTACTTGGCTGTATCCCAATGGAAACGCGCAACAAAACGGCCCAAAGTAGTACATGTACCTTTTCAGGCGTGGGCCGTTTTGTAGCGCGTTAGGGACGGGTGGAAATATGCCAAGGTGGGAACGAGACCATTGAATACAATGGGATTTATATTTTTGAACGTTTTGTAGAGCGTTCGTCTAGTGTAGAACGCGCTACAAAACGTTCAGGTGTGAACGAGGGCTTAGGGTATCTGGTTGCCCTGGATGAAAGGCAAACTTTTCCTTTCTCTTGGCGTTGTTTACTGTCATGTAAGAACTGCTAGTGACTTTGAATCCTGCAGCTCAGTTTGACCAATTCGGCTCGACAGCTTTCCAAGGATGGCCTTACAAAGGATACTGGGAAATAGAGAATGTTTGTCTGCTATGAATTTTACTTTTTTATGCTGTTATTGTTGCAAAATGTTCTGCTACTTTAGTTGTTGCTGTTATATAAAAAGTGAACTGAAATTGTTTAATAAATGGTTTGAGCATCTCTACCGTGTGGTTTGTTTTACAAACTGTATTGGGCAATGCAATCCTACTTCCAAATCAAACCACATGCAAGATTATGTGCAGAGTGCTCCAAAATTAGCACTTAATTTGTATGATATAACAGACTTGGTCATTATTCAGGGGTTTAAAGCGGAACTGCAGCCAAACAGGTAAATACAAAGTTAGAACCCCTGAAATGTGATCTTTTCTAACTGCCAATATGTTCTGTTTGTCTACTTCTGTGATCCCCACACCCATGCCATACTGCATCCAAAGGGTAACAGCACCAGTCACTAATTCTGCTCTTCAACTTCCTGGGTCACCTGCTTCCATACTGAACTATCTGCAACTTCCTGGGTCACCTGCTTCCATACTGAACTATCTGCAACTTCCTGGGTCACCTGCTTCCATACTGAACTATCTGCAACTTCCTGGGTCACCTGCTTCCATACTGAACTATCTGCAACTTCCTGGGTCACCTGCTTCCATACTGAACTATCTGCAACTTCCTGGGTCACCTGCTTCCATACTGAACTATCTGCAACTTCCTGGGTCACCTGCTTCCATACTGAACTATCTGCAACTTCCTGGGTCACCTGCTTCCATACTGAACTATCTGCAACTTCCTGGGTCA